CCCCGCCTCAGCCCTCCGCCTCCTCCCCTCCCCATCTGATCAATATTACCATCATCCTCATTATACAGCACTGGGAACTGATGGCTCCTATTAAGAGAGAGAGAGATATGCTGGCACCCGGAGGCGAGGCGACAGGGGAGGACGTTCTCCCCGCTGCGAGCAGCTGGAGAGGCTTGGCAGTGGGAGAGGGCGCGACCCGCGCAGACGCTGCCTTGGCCAATGGTGGCAATGATGTTTACAACCGCTGTCAGGCTCATTTGTATATTTTATGAAGCCGTTACAGACACTCTGCTGTTTTACTGTGCCGCACGTGTGGCTTAAACCGGATGGCACTTTTAGCACAATGCTTTACGGTCAGATTATCTGGAATATCAAGGCTTTAATGATGCAACGAAGGGAGGGAAGGAAGGAAGGAAGGAAGGAAGGAAGGAAGGAAGGAAGGAAGGAAGGAAGGAAGAGAAAAAGTACTCTGGATGAAGTGGAAGAGTAGCCGCCATATTGCTGTTGGGAAGTAAAAAAGTACAAATACTGAAGTACATTTTTCAGTTACTGTATCTGTACTGGAGGGTTTTTTTGGACAGCATTTACATTTTACTACTCTACTTCCTACTCCTTACTTTTGTCAAAACGTGCTTGTTACTTTTTGCAGCCTCTGCGGATGATGACAAAATAATAACAAAACAAAAAAAACATAGACCACAATTGTGATCTTGATTGAGATCATGGAGACTAATCAGTGAACCAGGGAGCATTAACGACAACATCGCAATAGACTAAGCAAAATATTCACCATTTGAGGCATTATTTAAGAAAAAAGCTTGCCTTTGGTTTCAAGATTAATGCACGGTGGGCATTATGTTGTCTTGTGTGAACGTTAGCTCAGATTAGCTTTTTTATTTATTTATTTTTATTTTGCTAGCCAGTTCCCAATGTTAGAAAAGCTACAGGAGCAAGTTTCAAGTAGTATGTCCAGTGATTTTGTTTTCTTCTCAGTACAAGTCGGGAAAGTTTTTTTTTTTCTTTTTCCAGTGAGCCATGTTATCAAAACAAGTAGTGATTCCAATTAAATAAGTAGTTGAAGCTGTACATTTACCAATCTGTTTCTACACAAGTCTATGTAGTTCTGCTTTTGGGGAAACTGTCACTGTTTACGCTGCGCTCTCTGTTGTTGCAATGTAAAAGTTTTTGTAGCGCTTATTTTTGATACTTTTTTAACGTTCTGTCTCCAGTGAGAAAAACGCACCCATCACCAGAGCCATATTACTCTCGACAATGATCCTTAGGTACGATAAAAACATTCTCAACTGATACTTTATCTCTGTGATTCTCAAAGTGCGGTGCGAGTGACCACTAGTGGTACGCAAAGAATCACTGCTTACATACAGTTTAGTCGTACAAAGTATTTGACTATTAAGTTCTATACATTTGCATACCATCTTGAAAGAACTGCAATTTTTATTCAACATTTATGTGCAAACAAAATTTTGTTTGATCATTTTTTAATTGTAGTTTTTAATTTGGCTATCTTTTAATATATATATTTATTGGCCCCCTCCACCCCCCCGCTCCCCGCCCCGACACAAAAAGAAAAAAAAAAGTTGAAACGGCATGTTTTCCGCAATACCAATATGGCGGCTCACTTGTGATGTCATTTTCCCCGATACAATTCCCCAGGATGTAAAAAATGATGAAGATGATCTTGTGCCCATAACAATATCTAACCCACATAGTCTACACTATTAAAATAGTATTGTTTTTTTTCATGTTTTCTTTTTAATATTCTCAAACCCATTCGTTAAAAAAAAAAAAAAAAATCATTCTCTTTTTTTTTTTTTTCTCTTTCTTGCAACCTGAAGCTAATTTTCTCCTTAATGTCATTAGTAGTACGGTAGTCTCATGAATGAATACGATGCATTACTGATTCAGAACAATACAAATGTGTTTGGTCCTTTGGTCCCTTTTCGGGGTGAAAGATTCTCAGTTGTACTGTCGCTAACGGAAACCTCAGTGACCTCCTCCGGGGCTGGTGGCGCTGCGCTTGCTGCGTGACGACACGAGAAAAAGAGGGTGAAGAAGAAAGACGGCCTTTTTCCGTTTCCCCGTCTTCGCCTTTGTGAACCCTCATTTGTCCAAGGAGCAGTAAAAGCCACAAGCGCATCTCTCATTTATATATATGTGTATAGAATATGTAATACGTATAGAAATCTATTTGTCGTTGCTGCTTTTTTCCTGTTTGTTAGTTTGTTGCTTCATTAACAATTCAAGTCTCAACAAGAAAAAAAAAGTTCTGTTGATCAAGTCTTTTTTTCGATTCTTTTTTTTTCTTCCAGTTTTTTTTCTTCCTTTCTCGCACTGTGCCATCTGTTAGCATCCCCCGACGACGAGCCTCCTCGTCTCGTTCCGACACAACTTAAGTCTTCATAAGTAAATGCTGATATGTCTCTCTCCCCCCCAAAGAATCCTTACGTGTTCATTAAAAAAAAACAAAAAAACAAAAAACAACAACATATGTTGCTTTCCGAGGAAAAAAAAAAGAAAAAGAGAAGAGATAAGCCCCTCCGAAATATCTTCACGTGTCGTCTAAAACCTGAAAAATAGAGCACAGTTTTCAGATTGGAGGGCTGGTCAACTTGTTCAGCTTTGAAGGCTTTAATATGGCTTGATGACATCAGTGCAATGGTCTGCAGGGGGCGAATGCAAGCTGGCATACCAATTGATCTTTGTCAATCATAACGTTGGCAGAATGTCTCATAATTAACATGCCGGCTGGTTGCTTTGCATGCATGAAAAAAATGAGGTGGGGGGTGGGGGGGGATCGGCACCTAAACGTATTAAGCATTGGCAGTCACATTCAGAATAACTTTAGCATCACCAAATTCCATTTACCGAAGATGAAAAGTCTACACACCCCTGTTCAAATGCTTGGTTTTGTAATATCAAACTCATTCCAGTAGGAATGTTACCGATCCCCCCCCCAAAAAGACATACATAACAATAGATAACAAAAACATGTACGGAAAAGGCGACTCGGAACATCTGAAATTTATCTGGGGTTAATCAGAGATATTGAACTTGAGCATGAATGTAATTCTGAACACAGCCTTGTGCTAATTATAAGAGGCTGAGTAACCACATTGTATCGCCGCAATATTATAACTGAATTTCAGTCGAGTTGTCCATCCATCCATTCATCCATCCATTTTCTGATCCGCTTTATCCTCACAAAAGTCGCAGGGCGTGCTTGGAGCCTATGCCAGCTGTCTCCGGGGCAGCCAATCGCAAGGCACACAGAGATGAACAACCATCCATGCTCACACTCACACCTAGGGACAATTCTGAGTGTTCAATCAGCCTGCCATGCATGTTTTTGGAATGTGGGAGGAAACCGGAGTACCCGGAGAAAACCCACGCAGGCACGGGGAGAACATGCAAACTCCACACAGGGAGGCCGAAGTGAGGATCGAACGCACGTCCTCCGCACTGTGAGGTCGACGCGCTAACCACTGGCCCACTGAGCTGCCTCAGTCGAGTTGTATCGTATGAAAAGTTTTGAAATGATTTGCATTTCAACAGGGGGTGTGTGGACATCTATCAACCGTATCTCTGCGTGACTGTGAAGCTATACCTAATGCAATGTCCTGTGAGTATATGGACGTCCCCAACATACCTGTGCTGCTGCTGCTGCTGCTGCTGCGGTGAATACTAAAGATAGGCTGTGTCAGTAAGGGCGGCTGGCATCCTTCGGTCTCTTTAGCTGGACTTTCAACCTTTTCATGCCAATCTGAAAGCCGTTCATGGCCTGGATAGCTGCTTGCGCGCTGGCGGGGTTGTCGAAGCTCACAAAGCCTGTCGAAAAAAATGTGCACCATGATGAATAATCTGTGGCTCATTTATCTTTCTGTTTTCGCTTGGCAACCAATCATGCAAACATGAAGAATCACATTTTAAAATCAAACACAGTCATGTGGTGTATATTTGAGCCGAGCCTTGAAATGAATAGTGAAATATTTGTGATATATATTTTTTTGATTTTGTGTTCGCTCCGTCACAAACAAGAGTCACTTTTTCAATTTTGTTACTACATTTGAAATGGAAAAGAACAAATCGCAGCTGTTGTGAAAAACATGTATGGCCATTTTGTCCATCCAGTCATCCATTTTCTGATCGCTTCATCCTCACAAGATTCGCGGGCCGCGCTGGAGCCTATCCCAGCTGTCTTCGGGCAGTAGGCGGGGGACACCCTGAACTGGTTGCCAGCCAATTGCAGAGACGAACAACCATCCATGCTCACACTCACACCTAGGGACAATTTAGAGCGTTCAATCAGCCTTCCATGCATGTTTTTGGAATGTGGGAGGAAAACGGAGTACCCGGAGAAAACCCACGCAGTCCCGGGGAGAACATGCAAACTCCACACAGGAAGGCCGGAGGTGAAATTGCCCATTTTGTGATGTTTTAAAAAAGGTTTACATAATTAAAGGGGTGTGCCTTGTTGTCATTGATTTTTTTTTTTTTTTACTTTCATGGAATGTCTGAAACATGGACACCCCATGAACATTTAAAAAGTTACAAAAAATGGACATTTGTTTTTCACAGGACAGCAAGGAAATGATACAGTCATTATAAATGAGCTACACAGTTACCTTCATAAGCGCAAACTTTCTATTTCATTAGATTGTGCGGGTGGACCAAATATTGGTGAAAGTGTTCCAATACAACATGACTCTGCCTGAGACACAACACCACCAGAAGCCCCGCCACCCACCCACCATCGTCACCTGCACTAAACATCCTGTTTCCATCATGTGTAAAAATAAAGCCTTGAGAAGTCAGTGACCAGAAACTGCAGCGGAGTGTGTCTCCGCTTGATGCGCTCCCCTGCGTCTTGGGTGTCATTAGGAACACTCAGTGACCCGTGAAAAACAGCAGGAGATTCTCCTCGTGCACCCCCTGCCCCTGCTTTCTCCCCCTCAGCCACATGGGAGACATGTCTGCTCGGCCTGCTCGGCTCTCGCTCGGCCCATTAGGGCGAAGGAAGGGTGACGAGGATGCATAGATACACCGTGGAGGAAAGGCAGGTGGGCGGAAGGAAGTGGGGAAGGTGGCAATTTGTGCTAGAGAGCAAAGAAGGGCCAGTTCTCGTCTCTCCTTCCAGTACGTCCAAGTCAACAGGTGTAAAACTCTGGTCCTCGAGGGCTGCCATCCTGCATGTTTTCGGTGTTTTGCCTCCTCCAACACAACTGATCGGCTTATCGGCAAGTTCTGCAGGAGCCCGATAACAATTCTTGAGGACGGGAGTTTGACATCTGTGGCCTAAGTGGATCCGAGATTTATCCACCACAGCCTATCACACAGAAACCACGGAAGGTAGGATATTGACGCAAACGTGTGCACTTTCGCTTCAGTCAGGGGTTGAATGACTCCATACTTTTTGGAGTTGACGCTAAGGCGATGATTGCTGATTCGATATCAACTAATCAATGACGATATTGATATTTTTTGTAATTGTTGCGTCACTTTTTTTTTCACAGTTTCCAAACACCAGCTCACGCTCAACGCAATGAACATATGCAACCGTGAGGGGGCGGCGCAGCGGTTGATAGATGAGTTTGCATGTTCTCCCCAGGCCTGCGTGGGTTTTCTCCGGGTATTCGGGTTTCCTCCCACATTCCAAAAACATGCACGGCAGGCTGATTGAACACTTTAAATTGTCCCTAGGTGTGAGTGTGAGCGCGGATGGTGGTTTGTCTCTGTGTGCCCTGCGACTGGCTGGCAACCGGTTCAGGGTGTTCCCCGCCTACTGCCCGAAGACCGCTGGGATAGGCTCCAGAACTACTGGTCTAAAATATGTGTTGGATAATTGCTTTCAGCACAACAGGGCGGGTTGGACTCCCCACTCAAATTCTGCGTTTTCCTTTTTCACACAGAACAATGAAACTGCACTTAGAAGTTGCTAAAATAACGTCCCCCCCCCCCCCTTTCCTTGTTGCCCTCTTTCGCATACAATGCAGTGTAAAAGCCACTCCTGTCCTTTTTGCTCAGCATCAATCCAGGTTCATTCCCTCCTTTTTCCCCTTTCCAGATTAATTACATCGGTGTTGCCGCTCCTTCCTCAGGCATAACATTATGTTGTAAACGCATAGTATATACGTCAATACTGCAAATAGGTCTTCTTTCATGAATTTATATGTTGTTAAATTCCCCTGGGGAGGCAGGATTGCTGATCAATCCGGCCCCTGGAGTGAAAACAAATGCTGATCTATAATTGTCCTTTACCCTCTTTGTTCCCCCTCCACATCACACACACACACACACACACACACACACACACACACACAGAACCAGCGTGGCTCCTTAAAGTTTGTATAAGCCGCAGGGCAGGTTGCGCCGTGTAGGCTGACAGAGCTAAATGAGGTGGGGGGGGCAGCGTGTGCATGAATCAACCTCAGTAGTGAGAGTATTGACAGATATTGGGGTGAACGAACGGTGATGCTGATGCAGCACCAGCGGGGCGGTGAGGTCATGCGGTCCCACGGAAACACGGATATGGATCCTGATCGACGACATCACGGCTCACGGGGCTCCACCGTGTACATACAGTAGAGTATCCATATTGAGCAATCGCAATGTGCACAGGGCCGATGCCAAAACACCGCCGTCATCAAGATGCAAACGCAGGTCAGTCGGGGGCCAAGATCGTTTTCTTCATGTCAGTCGTCATCATCGCAATCTGCAACCATTTTTGTTTTTGACAAATGTGCTCCCTCTGTGGTGTTTTCATACAAACGTCATTCATACCGAGGGGACATTTATTTTCCTTTCGCTGGGATCTTGTAGCCGGAAATGAAAAGAGAGTGTGACAAAAGATTCTGTGAAAATAAGTTCACTATTTCCACTTACTTTTTGCTCGAGCTGGAAATTGAACATGCTGATTTTGAGTAATTATTTCATCTGAATCTTCATTACTGATAAAGGTACACACAGTTAACTCATTCACTGCTATGGAATCCAGCCGTTAACTCCGTGCATATTTGTCAAATAAGGTTTTTCACCATGTGGGCATGGAAGAGATGCTCAGCCAGCTCGTTTTTAAACTGTAATGACAAACACATTGCAGTAGATGGCAGCGTTACATCACTTTAAATTTGAGAACAGCACAGCTTTTGAGTAGAAGATATAGATTACAGAGTGAAAGTGGACTAGTTTAGGAACGTCATACTTGAATGGGGTCTGTATACGTAAGACAGAGTATGAATCATGATAGATAACCGTTCATGGAGTAAATGAAGGACACCAGGTCAAAAAAGTTTTTTTTTTCCTCAGTGTGTTTGGTAAAATCAACCCACGTTCTCCTGCTGATTACTAAAGCTAGAAACAAACTGTCTGGTGAAAGAACAGTCTACTCTTCATGTTGTGACAGAACACAATATTCTGTGGGTCCATTAAGATCAGTCAAAATTGTCGAAAGGCAGTCATGGGAACACTGCTTTGAAAATATGCATTGCTATCAGTGTTGCTATTGCATTAGCATTCTTATGTCACAGAAGGGGAAAATGACACTCTACCGACAGCTACAGGACTGTTGTTGGAGTTCACATGTATGTCGAGTTGTCGATTCGAATTGAAAAATGCAGCTTCAGTGAAAAAGTGACTCATACGAGCTACGCATTCATCATCCATCCATTTATTTTCTAATCTGCTTATTCTGACGAGGGTCACTAGTGTGCTGGAGCCTATCTCAGAGGTTTTTGGGCAGTAGGCGAGGGTACACCCTGAACTGGTTGCCAGCCAATCGAAGGGCACAAATAGACGAACAACTATTCACGCTCATAATCACACCTGGTGACATTTTAGAGTGTCCCATTAACCTGCCATGCATGTTTTTGGAATGTGGGAGGAAACCCGGAGAAAACCCACGAAGCCACGGGGGGAACATGCAAATTCCACATAGGAAGACCGAACCCGGACTCGAAACCTGCACCTCTGCACTGTGAGGCCGACATGCTAACCAGTTGACCACCGTGCCGCCTTCATTAATCATAAAAACTAATAAATTAGAATTTTTCTCACAGAAAAAAGTTGCCTGCCCTTGTTGTAAAGGTTGCTGGCCTTATAACCGGATTGCGTTCAGTGCCAAAAGCGAGCAAGCGAGTGACTGATTAAGCATTGCTGTCGAACTCACCGAAACACTTGCTCTGGTTAGTCGCCCGGTCCATGAAAACCTTGGATGAGATGACGGTGCCGAAGGGCAGAAACATCTGCATGAGTTCGTTGTCTCCAAACTCCTGCGGCAGGTGGTAGATGAACAGGTTACAGCCCTCCGGACCTGGAGAAAGACAGACTGACTGTTGAGTATTTTGAGTATTTGCAGTGCACTTTTTCAGGTCGAGTCCATGAAGATGAGTCATTTTCCTGGGGTGAGATATTAGGAGGAGGACTCACTACATTACTGGTACGTGGAAAGTAGGCAATGTTACTTCTGTTCAGAGAGATTGGACAACTAGAAAAGCGCGGCGTCCGCATAATGCTGATTAGCAAAGAGGGAATTACTCGAAAAAAATATATCGCCAACGGCAGCACCTCACATAAAACCTGAGCAATTATGGCATTTGACCCAACATATCTCAGGTACGGCAGGTTCAAAATCAATCGTGTTCCCGCTCCAACACCCATCAATAACCCCAACGAGTTTAAATATGGGTAAGACAAAGATTTTATCTTTGACCTCGGCAATCTATAATTTTGCGTCAAATTGCATCCAAAATCAATAGGATTTCTTCAATGACACAACATTGCCAGGATGTCTAGATAAGACTGTCAACAATTCTATCCAGTAGTGGTTTGAAACGGAAAAGTGTCGATGTTTGGCAATTGACCAAAGCCACCTCGATGATTCCAAGTCATTAGCGCTTTTTGCTTTGCCATATCCCGAAATGCTTGAAAAGAAATGCACAGAATTTGTCAGCAGTGGATATTATGGTATGTACTGTATGTACGAACGGCTAGAACCACATATTAAAAATGTATGACACTTTTGTGCATTCAAAACGACAGTTTCATCTGTTTAGCTTAATGCTAGCAAGGAATGCAAAATGCCACAGACGAGCTAACGATTAGCATTGGTGTCTCAACACTATAACCTTTTAAGCAACATATATTAGACACAAACAGTGGAGCAACACATGTAGACAGATAACTCTGCTCATACTCATATATTCTTTATCCTCTGCAATGAAGGAATAATATTATTGTGGCTTACTGAAAAGCTGTGACTCTAACCATGTATATCCGAGCTGGAAAGTTGACATATTCACATTTGTCAGTCTTGTGTGAAATGTCAATTAAAACCAAAAGTATTCTTTCTTTGACACATCCCCAAATGAGGAGGGGTGAATGTAAATTGTTACTAGGTTATGTAATGCAACTCCTGTGTCACAGACGTGTTCAAATCAAGAGCATTCTTGCTTTGACATTGCAGGACATCAGTCATCTCACAGCAGGTATGACAAGTAATTGGAATGATTTCATTTTTGGCCCGAGGCATCTTTGCTATCTTGTGTCCTATACTAGAATTGAAAATCAATAAAGTTTCTTTAACATAAAATAACAATCCCATTAAATTTTGCAAACCAACCACCAGACCTGATGAAACTTAATGTCTGCAGTCCCTTGACGGCAGACATTTTGTTGTCAGACCACGCCAAATCACTTGTGTTCCTTCTTTGACATCAAATAATAATCCCGAAAAATTGGCAGCTGATTATGAAATGTGAGTTACTCTGTCACTATGTGTTATATTGCCGCCATTCCCAATCCCAAGCATGAAAAAAAATTCTCTCTTTAATTATTGACGAAATAGCCCGGCTCTGCTCTGTCTATACGTGTAGTTATATGTTCTATCTATCCACACAATCTCAGAACATTACCAGTGTTTTATCGCCCTCATCTTTTAGATGTACTGTTTCCATTTCCTGAGATGAGCTGTGAATGGTATCCTGCATGTGGCCACTTTATTTATCTATTGCACAGAGAGAGAATGAGGGGGTAATATTCTTCTCTCGTAATATGTGCGAATGAGATGTGTACAGTGCCGAAGCAATATTGCTCTCTCATTCTCGTCGTGGTTTATAAATCTAGTGTGTTAAAAAAAATAAAATAAAAGTAATAATGTTTTCTCACCCTCACCTTCTCTCTGCTGCTGCTGCTGCTGCTGCTGGATGACCTGGGGCGCTTGAGGCAGCGTCTGGCCAATGGGAGTCAGCGTGGTGGCCGGGTAGATCGCTATGAGAGGACGGGAGAGGTGTGGCGTGAAAATGTGGATGGCAGTCCGGAGGGCTACGGTCCACGACACGAGCGGAACACGTGAGCGTGATGCTCCCTGATGATGCGTGATGGTACCATCTCAATATGGATCGGAGGTGGGCAGTGGTGTAGTGTGGGTTGCAGTTTTGGTGACTTTTTGTAGTCTGTTATGACTGTAATAACCATGGTCTTTCTCATTTAATTCTTGCAAGAAAGAGGACAAATTGCAGATCCCATTTTAGGCCCACCGGACACTGAGGCGGCCGAAATAGAGTGAACTGTCGCAGAGCGTGCTGGCTTCAGCAAATGGTTTTCAAGACACCGTCGGCCACTCGTTTTGGAATTTGAATTTCAGGTGATCGGCATTCCAGGTTCTCTAGGCGTAAGCGAGACTCAGCCACCACCACGCCGCCAGCAGTAACGATTCAATAGAGGATACAAATAGCTCGTTTTACAATAATACCCAACAATGTTTATGTACCTATGGCTAGAAAGCAAAGCGCAAAGAGTCTCTGTTGCAGAAATACACAGGTGCATCGAGCGACTATGTAAAGAATTATTGCCAACAGCCTCTCAAAACATCCCCACTCTATTGCTCATTTTCTCTTTTTTGAACTCTCTGCTTCTTCCTTGACAATCATGCCACGTTTTTGTGGTTCACAAATAACACAGTTCATCATACTGTGTATATACAGCCTCAAAACCAGATACAGGGTGGCAATTTTTCTGTTGCAGCACGTTGGTAGATGTGCGATGCTCGGTCGCTTGAAATGCAGTGAAAATATATCCCCCCAGTGGTATTGTCGATTTGGTGCACTTTGATGGATCATTGCTGATGTTTGAAATGACATAAAATCAGTCAGGGTCACAGTCTGTGGTACATTTAAAATTAAAAACGATTAAAAATTGCTGGTAAGAGAGATGGGAAATTTCACCTGTGTATTGCTGTACACCGGTGAAGGCTTGCTGCAGGGTGTCGGCGGCGGTGGGGCTCTGGGTGGAGTAAGGCGGCAGGCCATTGGTGTAGACCGTCTCCACGGCAGGGTGTCCGTTGGGCTGATGAGGGATGCCGGTGAATCCATTGACGATGGGCGTGACGATGCTGGGCACGGCGGAGGTGGTGATGTTGGCTGGTGGAGAACTCAGGCCTAAAAGGGAACAATGTCAGACCAATTCAAATTAATAAAGAGTACACTTCAAAACTACAGGTGCTCTTTTTTAGCAGTCAAGGTACATCCTACATATAATGGAAAACAACCACACAAAATCCTCAAACTCAAAACTGTGGGGCAGATGAGCTTAAAGCCTTGGCTACTGTGCTGCTCAATACAGTTGGCAACTGCAGATTTGTATATATATCTATATATAGATATATATAGATATATATACTGTATTTTCCACTATTTTGTAATTTTTTTTCATACATTGGGCACACTGCGTTATAAGACGCAATATAAAATGCATCCACTAGATGGAGCGACACTCAAGGAAATGCCAACAGAACGATCAGATGTCAGTCAAACTTAGTTAATAAAGCAGCAACACAGTTCACTTAACCAACAGCAAGTTAAAAACATTGACTCGTTAACGTTGAACTCTCTTGCCGCTGCTCGATTTCCGTGTTCAACTGCGTAACCGATCGCCTTAAGTTTGAACTCTGCGGTGTCAGCATGTCTCGAGCAAGGAGCCATTTTGGGGTCGAAATATACCGTAATGACCATACACAAGGCGCATCGGATTTTAAGGCACGCTGTAGGCTTTTAAGAAAATGGAAGGGCTTTTAGGTGCGCCTTTTAGTGCGGAAAATACTATATATATATATATAAATACACATATGTGTGTATGTACATAAATACACAGCCACACACACACACACACGCACACACTGTCAGCATTGTGCATCGAGTCTTGCACAGGCATGCACATTTCCTGGCTAATGCAAGGACACGGGTTCGACAACGCGCCTGTCACATATCCGCTATTCGTCACGACACATCAGGCAAGATGGCTGAGGAAGTGAACCTGTGAAAAATGAGGCTGTCCGCCGTGTTTGCGTGAGCCCCCGCTGCTCGACATGATGAAACTACCATGCAACTTCCGAAGGGGGAAAACAGAAACTTGATGGAAACGATTAGAGGGGTGCCCGGGGAAGCAGGTTGCGAAAACAAAAAGATGTCACTTTACTTGTGGGGGGGAAAAAAAAATAACACACAAAACAACAGTTGGCAGTTTGACAAATGTGCCAGTCATAACATATATGGCGCATGCCTGAGAGGCAGGATGGTTCATGAGCGGAATCGAAATTGGTTGCTCGCCGTCCCCTCCCTCTCATGCAATGCATTTTAAAAGGGCCCTCCTTGGGAAAGTGTTTCCAATTATGCCGGGAATGCCAAAGTACCCATTTTGAACAGAATCTCACGGCGTGATGGCCTCTCTAAAAAGGGCCGCCTTCGTGGCGAAGCATCCGCGCTCGCTGAAGTACAGCTCCCCTGAGAACCACCTTTCAATCTAGAAACCGTAGCCCTGATTGGACGGGAATGAGGCGGTGGGGGTTTGGGGTGGGGGGTCAGGGGGGGTTGTGCAGTTCCGTACAGCACGTCGTATTCCCGTCGAGGTGGTGCTTTGGCAGAGTACCCCCATATGAGAGGTGGTCCACGTAGGGTAAACAATCACATTTGTTTCACACACATTGAGGTTTATGCTAATGGTATGGTAAATATAGTGTACATCGCCACCGCTGAGTAACAGCATCTACATATCCATGCGGAATTGCTTTTCCTTGCTTACAGCCAAGTTCTATTTCCATAAATTCTCAGCACATAGCCCAAAGAACCAAATTTGGTCATTTAAATTTAAGGTAAAATATGCACCACATAACATACATGACTGCAGGGGGTTTTTCATTTCCAACGGAGTTCTGTTCCTGTGGTGGCGACGTATAGATAGAATCTGAAATTCTAAGGAAGAATGTGGCATAGTTGCAAACTTAAAAACAAGCAAATGAAAGACAGTAAATATAGCTTGTACAAAGTGTATAGAGTGGTGACAATGTGGAGCAACAGGAGGAGTCCAGGAGGATTCTTTGAAGCTCTGGTGGAGTCAATACTCAAGAGGGTTAAGGAGCTGCTGGAAAATATTGGTGGCTATATCTACACTTGGGGCACAATTTGGACTGCCTTTTATCATCTGAAAAAAATATCCCGACTGAAGGGTTGCATGTTCCAAGCAGATCAGGATAAATAAGCTTATCCATCCTTTTATTTTCAGTAGACTCAATGATTGTATTCTGACTGGACTCCGCCAGACGAGCATTAAAAAGGTTCTTACCAGAACAAAAGGATGAGATCATCTTACTCTCTTTCGAAAGATTTCAATTTGACTCCCACTCAGCTGTAGAATATATTTTAAAATTGTGCTACTGATCTATAAGTCACTGAATGGCTTAGGTTCTTACGACATGAAACAAATGTTCATGGAATATCGACCCAGTAGGGTTTCCAGGTTAGCAAAAGTGGAAGCCAGAGTTGAAAATCAAACATAGTGCATCAGCATTTAGCTGTTATGCTGCACACAAGTGGAGTAAGCTGCCAACAGATAGTTAAAAACTATTCTTTATCTCCATTAGTTATGATTAAGGTCTTTTCGAGCATTTCTATCATCAATCTTTCCGAAAACGTCCTCTTGCGCTGTACCTTCTATAATTAAGTTTGGCAAACTACTTTTTATTTCTCGACTTGGCTCTCAAAACGCCTGAAAGTCTATATTTTTTTTTTGTCTTCAATGTCATCCATCCATCCACCATCTGACCCACTTATCCTCACGAGGGTCACGGGTGTTTTGAATTTGATTTCCTTTAAATGTTGTTTTCTCACTACGTGAAGCACATTGAGTTAGCGTCCGTATGAAATGTGGCATATAAATAAAGCTGCTCTGCCTTGCCTTTTCACTTCGAATGTTTGCATGTATTAAAACGGGCGCCTTTCGCATTAACCTTTTCCTAAGAAGTAGCTCTCATTTTTAAAAAGGTTGATGAGCTCTGCCTGAGAGAGGGAATTTTTCTTGGCCTTGTGCTTGCCGATGTGGTACTGTAGTGTAATTCGAGCCCAGCTTCATATAGAAAGCACCTTGGGATAACTTATCTGTTATGAATTGGCGCGCTATCAATAAAAATGGACTTTAAAGTAATGTGATCTTCACAACCATTAGGGGATACCAACATTGGGAAAAAAAGAAAAATTCAAGCTTGCCTCAAAGGTACTTTTCATTGTTACGTCGCAAACGTGCAGTTCATTTTATAGAAGCAAATTTACATTCGCATTCTCGCAAGATGGGGGGGGGTGGGCGGGGAGTCTTGATCCGCTTTTTGCCGTGATTGCCTGGCAAAAAGGAGCCTGGGCGTGTGACAAAAGTATTTATTATGCTAATTATACATTCAAATCAAGCAGGAATGGAAAGTCTGAGAGTCATTACAGCCACGAGGACTGTCTGCCGCTGGAGCAAGTAATAAGCACTCAAAACAGATGCTTTCATCTAACTGATTTAAATAGTGATGCATGTTTTTTTTTTGGGGGGGGGGGCGGGGGGGAAACCAAAGGGAAAATGACTCGAAATGAATAATAAAGTAGCTTTCTTCGACAAGCTGACACACCAAGAAAACTATTTGTATTTGACGACTGATAGCTACGCGCGCTGGCCGCTTTGATGCATCTTTCTCCTTTTAACACACATTTAATAATGATGATGTGCAAATTTGGCAAAAGTGTATTTTTTTGAGTGTTTTTTTTTTTTTTTTTTCTCAG